GGACCGTCAGTCTGTACAACTCCTTGCAGCCCGCAAACCGTTGGTGAACTTCCGGCTCAGGGAAGGAAAGGAGAGAGATGGGCGAGCCGGCCGCACCGACCTGCCCGCCCGCCCACCAAAGACGTCGTTAATAACGGGAACCAGCCAATTTCCAAGCAGCGAATGGATGAAAGGACAGGGAAAATGTCTCTAGGAATTCCGACGATAGCAATAGTTGCCTGCACACCACTACACCACTACACTTGCACACTGGTACCGTCTATTCGTTATATGCCAAGTATGACAATAACTATCGCTATGGTTCCACATGACGGGTGCCAAACAAGAGGTTCTGGTTTTTAAGCGGTTTTGGGACAACCAAGACGTTCCCATGTGTTCCTTCAATATAAGAAGAGATGCTTTGGCTGCTTGGAAACCAACTTAAAATCGTAAATCTAAAACAATTCTCGCGCGGTAAATTTTCTCGTAAAACCTGCAAATATTTTTTTCACACTGTAATGATTACCAGTGAGAATGCACATAACACATTTTAATGCGGTTAGAGAGGCCCACACGCACAGGCTGCGCTATAAGTACGCAAGCAGGGGTTGGCCGTGCTGTGCGCGGATTGGCTGGACGACAGAGACCTTCTACCATAATTAAATGAAGCCGACGACTTGACGCAAAAAAAGCGCGTAGATGAGGAGAACCTATGCCTGCCCCTCATCACTACCACCATGCGATCTCTCTCTCTCTCTCTTTCTCTCTCTCTCTCTCTCTCTCTCTCTGAGGCGTTCATCAACGTCACGGTATGGTTTTAGGCGGCGGCCGTCAACCTAGCCAGCTTGCTGTTGCAGCAGCTGCGGTGGTCAACGTGATGATGATAAGAGCAGGGTGATGTGTGGCATAATGAAAGATGGATGCGGAGCGAGAAAAAAAAATAGAAAGAGAGAGAAGTTGATTGTGACCACGTGGGCGGGGCCGACAGCCTTGACATTAGCATTAACCATGAGTGCGCGCCTGATTGGACCCACTGTGTGAGTGTGTGTGAGTGTGAGTGAGTGTGTGTGTGTGTGTTGTGTGTCCAAGCCGAAGGTTTCAGTTACCGGCCACACAAAAGGGACTTGGGGCCAAAAGAGATCCACGAGAGATTATATGATGACTGCCGCACAGTCTGCGCATTCAAGTCAATGCGAGTGTGAGTGGTCCTTATGGCGGTGTTGTGCTGTGGGGACCGTGACGTCATCGGAAACAGCAACAGGGGGTGGGGACAGAGGAGTCTGTTACAGGGTATGAGGGTATGTGATGATGAGCAAATACGGTAAGATGTACAATGTGCACTGTAAAATGCTTACGAACTAAATGCATTGCAACGTTACAAACAATTTTCATTCTTAGAAATGAATACAAGTTTGTATTGCGAAGCAATAGTTTGTATTGCAAAGCAATATTGTTTGTATTGCAAAGCAATATTGTTTGTATTGCAGAGCAATATTGTTTGTAATGCTAGGAAGCCTAAGAACAATCGATTTGCGTAACGAACTATTTGTTCGTAAGCTTACGGACAATTATTTCTTAATACAACGCTTCAAAATCCTCCATAACCCAGGTTAAAAGAGCCATGGGGAAAGCCATGGAAATATATCAATTATATGGTAATACATGGAAGTCCATGGTCTCTTATGTTTTAATGTTGATTAACCATAGTATTATGGTCATGGTAACCAATGGTTACCATGAGACAACATGGTTAAAGGTTGGGGAAACTATGGTCGAGAAACCGGAAACCATAATCCATCTTCAAGTTACCATGTTATTTTTGGCTCCTAGTGAACAAGAAAACCATGGTTACCCATGGTTATTTTAGCCCGGGAAGCTACGAAGGTTTTGGTTTTCATTACGAACCTGTTGTTCGTAGGCAATAAACAGTGTGCCACCGGGGGAAAAGTTCTCATCACCAGAAACTATGTCCGTCATTTGACGCTGCGAATCCGCTCAGAATGCCTCTGCAAGAGCTCTCATAG